GGGGGGGGGGTTTGGACTGCCTATACAGCTTAACAGGGGACTTCAAGGTCTTGGGGCTCATTTCAGATACTCTATAGATGAAAGGATGTACTCCAAAGAGAACTGAAATTCCCCACCATCCAGTTTAGACCACAGTGATTGAAACAGAACAGCTCAATATACAAGGGGGTATAAGGATAATAGCACAATGCTAAATGTACTGTTATATTTTAAGCATTGCATACACATTGGGACAGGGCCGTAGCCACGGTTGGCCTGGCTGTGCCCCCTTGCCATTGGTAACAGGGATGCCAGGTGGCCAACAGAGCCTTGGCTTGTCAGGGAAAAGAGGGGCGGCACAGGCACCAGCTGCTCCTCAGATCCCCGCTGTTCTCCCCCGCCTGTATGGGCAGAGGACTCTGTGTGCTCAATCTCTTTTTCTATTTAAAAAGGGAAATGTCAGGGGTCTGTTTAGATCCCTGATATTTCCCCAAAGACCCCCAACAGTAAACAAAATAAATAATAACAATAACAATAAATACAAAAAAAACAAACACACAAATGTCGGGTGGCATAACACGTCTGTTGGGGGCACAATTTTCTGTTCTTGCCTCGGGTGCAAAAGGAGCTAGCTATGGCTCTGCATTGGGAACACATCCTACTTGCCCAAGGATATAGTTTTTTTATTAAGGCATAGCTTTAGTGCCCCAGTTAACCCTAATGCCCTTTTTCCAGGATCTGGTGATATAGGAACTCTTTTTGCTCACCTGTTTGTGATGTGGCTTGTTTTTCCTAACACACCCACTGTAGACTCGCTGTATTTCATGTGCAAAAAGCTAAATATACTAGTGTTTCAGAGCTTAGAAGTACTTCACAGCCATCAGAATAACTGAATCCTACCTTGGTAGTTAGAACCTGGCTCAGGAGAGCCCTCAGCTTTCCTGACCACCCATGCCCTACCCCAACCATCTAGCAACTTATGGGGTGCTTCATTATGTGCCCGATTGTCCTCTCCACCCCTCGTACAGCAGCACTGGTTACACATGCAGGCTTTATTTCCACCAAGATAAAGTTGTGCAAATTGTTTTGCAGGTTTGGTTGTACTTTGATAAGACTTACAGAAGTATAAGTGAATTCAGTCCTTGAAACACTTGGGGGGAGATCCGGTTTATTTTGTTGTTCTCAATGACTCTGTTAAAAATGAGAGAAATGTTTATTGGAGGCAAATTCACAAAATAAGTGTAGCAACACCAAGTTATCAGAGAACAGATTGGGCTTCTATCAAGCGATGTGTTGTTTAAAGAATGTTTACTACTCATTACTAGCATTTTGATGAGTAAATGAGTATTATAAGTATTATGATCCAGTATGTAGCCACCTCAAAGACATTTGCTATACTACCTGTAATGTAGATGTTAAAAAAAACGGTTTTACTTTACAAAGCTGACATATTCACCTGTTATATAGCAGCAATTGTTTACTCTATGAATAAGCCTACGGATGAAACATGTGAGAGGTTGTAGCTGGTTGGGGGTTTGCGGTGCTGGTATTTGGTGTTACATACACTGTTACACTGGATTTGCTGTGAAATTCAATAAAGCCTGAAGTATTGGAATTCTCTGGATAGTGCTGTCTGTTTGTATACTACTACATTCCAAGGTGGAGATGCACCTATTAAACCAGCACCTGGGGAGTCCACATGGCAGCTAAGGAATTGGAGCGGTGAGATTTCTTTTGGCTCTACAGCAATTGTTTACTATTTAACACAGACTGTTTGCTTTCACTAGAGGACAGCCAGCAATGGATTTCAGACTAGCCCAGAATGGTTGACACAATTTAGCTCTATGAGATGTCTACTGCAAAAGGTAGACACAGGTGATTGTGTAACATCAGTGGGAGGAATGTTCTGCAAAGCAGTCAGGGAGGAAGTAAATTGGTGAGAGAACTTTCTGGAAGAAAGTAGCTGCGAGATACATCCTACTGAATTCCTTATGTTCTGTGAGATTCCTGCTTATACTAGAGGAGAGCACAGAGAAGCTGAAACTGATCCCATCTGTTTCTTCTGTCTGCCTAAAAAGACTAAAGAAAGCTGATTGCTGCATTGCAAGTGCCACATGGTCCCCACAAAGATGTTTATTGAGCTACAGTGATTATCTCTCAGATTTTTTAGAATCTGCCATGTCTTCAGCTGTCTGTTCATCTCATTGGAACATAGTGTGATAAACTGTATTGCATACACTGGCGGAGTATAATGTATTGCTGGGACTTGTAGTCCCGCATAGCTGGTGGTAATTTGATGATTATACAGCAATGCAGAATATCTCCAACTATGTAGGACTACAAAGTATCGTTTGAATCGTTAATTGTTACCGTTAATAATTTGCCATCCATCATTCACTGTCATGGATGGTATATTATTAACGGTCACAATTAACCATTACAAACAAATACTTTGTAAATAAATGCCGGTTTCCTCAGGTAATCCCGTCTGTACGTAAACGCAGATACTGGGTCGGTGTTCTCGACAGAACACCGGCACTAAAATTTTAAACAAGCGGCTGCCTGAGGTCCCATGCTTACTGGGGACCTCGGCAGCCTTCCTGTTAACCAAGCGGTGCCATGGCGGTTGGGGGGGCCTTCATGGTTTCTTGCACCGGGGCCCTGAAGGTTCTAGTTACGCCTCTGATTGCACAGTCAAAGAATGACTGCTCAACTGGATAGAGAGGATACATACAGACGATTGCTTTACAGTATTGTCTACTGGATAAAGTACGCTGTCTGGGAAGAGATCTTCTTTCAAATGAGCTCACCAACAGACAGGTTTAAAACTTACATTATAGTTGGCTTTGCTATACAGGGGAAAGTGAACTGCTATATCACCTTTGTTGATGTTCTAATACCAATACTGTGATTCCACTTTAAAAATATTGCAATTGTTGCTCTGTTTACATTAACCATTTTCTTATAATAAAGGAGAACTATGAGATGAGTGATTTTCACTCAACATCATAGTTCGAGCCGACGTGTGACAATGAAACTGTCACACGTGGGCTCAATAGATCGGGAAGTCAGCGAACACATACCATCGTCTGCTCACTTCTCGATCATGTCTCTGCAGAGAGCCGTGACTGTCACTCACGGCTCCCTGCAGAAATTCCCCCTCTCCCCTCTCCCCTCTCCAATCCTCCAGCGCTGAGTGGAGGAATGGATGCGGGAGGGGGCGGGTACAGCTGGCTCTGCATCTAGATAGGCAGAGCCCGCTGTCACTCACACAGGTGGGTGGATCTCAACAGTAATGTCGGGATCCATCCCAGCTGCGTCCGTCTCAGTATACCGCGAGCTGTAGCTCGCAATATACTGAGCTTTGGGTCACGGGAGGACGCTAGTATATGTCCTCCCGTGACCCTTAGGAGAACTATGGGGAAATACACTTACCCCATAGTTCTCCTTTAAGTATGCAGCCACCTTTGAAAAAAGTTGCAGAATCAGGCAGGAGCTAGACCTGCACACTTATCAAATCCAACACTTATGGGTGTGCTACAGATATATGGTAGAGGAAGTCAAATAGGCATAATAGTAAATCAGGGTGTACAGTCAGTTCTATACATCAGTAGTAGTGAAATTAAAAAAACACCTTATTCAGTTGGTTTGTTTGGGATCTTGTTTGCTGGTTTAAATTTGCAGACGACACAAGCTCATTCACTGATCTATTTTCTTTTTTCACTTTTCATAATTAATAAGGTGAAATAAAAGATAAATCAAATAAAAATAAAATGAAGTATCATTTTCAAGTTAATCCGGCCTTTATAAAGAGCTGCTAAATATCTAAAGGCTATGCAAGTATTATGGCCTTAGGAAAATGTGGTACTTTTTCCATTTAATACATGTCATAGTTGTGCTTTAGTTGAAAGCAATAAAATAGGGCCGATAACTGAAGAAAGTCTGCCAATTCTGCATTATCATTTTTTTTCTGGGCTTTAATTGTAAATATGATAAATAAGCGAAACAAAGAAAAAGTCATCTGGCAAAAGGATTCCAATTTTGCCAAGCAAAATGTAAATGCCCAATCAATTCAGAAGTTTAAGTTTATTTGCATGCATACTGGGAATACAAGACTCATTTTTCAATGCAAAGTAATCTCTCCAAAACAAATAAAGCCTGAGAGAATGAATTGACATTATCAAGTTAATAAAACATTTTGTATGCCGTGTTATCTCAAGGGAAACTTGGTTGCAATTTGTTTTGGAACCTGACTTAATACTGAGAAACTATAATATACTACTGACTCTGAGTAGCGCTACAATCATGCAACAATATGGCTAAAACAGTTGATAATGAGTCTGATGATCCTTCTCTTCCATCTCAGTGCCTAGGCCTTATGGAGGGAGCGCTAATAATATTAATGTGTGGATGAGCTAGCAGTAATGGCAGCAGTAATGTCAATATACCATACACTGAAGCATTTGTGCATTATAGGGATACATACTATCACATTTATCTGATATAAATATTACTGCATATATTTATTTTCTATTTCTCTAAATTTTCCCTGTTAGCAAATGGGTTAAAAAGTATGTCCAGTAAATATGGATTTAGCTAAGCAAAATGAGCTATAAGGTTTGCTTCAGTTGGCCAGGTCCACTTTTAGCAACATTTTGTCCCCAAAAAATGAGGTCACATGCCCACCTGAATATACCGAATGACCAGGTTTTTCCAGCAAAGGATTTTTTTCTTCTCTGATGACACGGGCATATTCCAAGATGACAATGCCAGGATTCATCAGGCTCAAATTGTGAAATAGTGGCTCAGGAAGCATAAGATATGGATTGGCCACCACAGAGTCCAGACCTTAACCCCATTGAGAATCTTTGGGATGTGCTGGAGAAGACTTTACAGAGTGGTCTGGCTCTCCCATCATCACTACAAGATTTTGGGGAATAATAAATGCAACTCTGGATGGAAATACATATCAAATGCATGCCGCATTCAAAGCTAAATATGGTCCAATGAAATATGCGTGTAACTTTTTTTCTCCCCAGTAATTGTACTTGAGTAGGTAAAGTGAGAACCCCTGTCAGCTTTTTATAATATCTGAAACAGAGACAGACAACTACTTGCCTGCTGATAATGTTGCCCCCAACACAATAAGTAAGGAGACATCTTTCTAATGGAGCCCAAGATAACAATAAAAAGGAAACAGGGGTTCTAATCTTTTCCCACTTGATACAACAAAAACATGGCTGGACATGCACTTGTTCCATTTATGCTACCAAATCGGTTAATATCTACCTTATATTTGTTACATGTTACTATTCACATAGCATGACTATAGGGGCTCGTTCACATCAGCAGCTGCATTAGCACATCACACTGTATACTTTTTTTTCTCAGAACTTTATTGAAATGTCACAAACTGACATTTCATTCAGTGCCATCGGCCTCAGGGCAGTGTCATGTGATGGATTGCTTAGCACCATGCTGTGCTGAATGCAATACCTTTTTTCAGAGCACAGGATTCAATGTTGTAAAGTAAACTATGCATCTGACCAGCAAAGCCTAATGGCGCTGGTGTAAAGAGGCCCTAAAAATATTTAGAAATTGATGTTTACCTTTATAAATGCTCTTTTCTGAAAACCCCAGAACTAACTAAAAAATCCTACTTAGTACTCGCTTACTTTGTAATGTTTATAAAGGGCTGGGGAGTTGTGCGTGCCTTAATTAACCCTGTCGGTACTGTGCTGGGCTGGCAGATTTTATTATCAGTTGTTATCTAGATGTGCAGGACTGTTTGTCCTAACAAAGGGTTAAAGATTTCAAGATTTTGTATGTTAATGCGCTGTCTTGTCCTTCTTGTCTTTGTCTTGTCCGTCAGTCTGTCCCTTGCCATTTAGTCTGTCTATCCATCTTTTCCAGTCTTGACATCTTTTTTTAAAGCAATTGAAGCCACCCATAAAGTTCTATGTATAATCCTGCTCCAAAGAATAGAAAATTGCTTCATATTGAATTTCCAAACAGCAAGTCAGTGCAGTCTGCTAAAATGAACTGTGAAAAACAGGTATGAACATAATGCACGTCACCTAATCCCACTTCAACTAGCTATCAAATTATTGGCCACTATGAGTAATTCACTTCTCTTCACAGACATAATATATTACCACCTGAAGCTAGGATAACAGGCTTGACGAGCGTGT